GAAGTGTAGGGTCTGCCAGTCCTTCCAGCACAGAGGGCTGCTCCCTGAATCATAATGGAATTTARTTTGCAAGAGTTCCTGAAGATGATYTTGTCCWTYCCCTGACTGAAGTTCAAAGTTAAGTGTTGTTCAGGGTCTTGTCCTGGACAAGTTTTGAATATTTCCAAGGATGGAGGTTATGGAGAGTGTCTACTCTGGGCACTGGCTTTGATGCCATGACACTTTCAGGGTGCATTTCCCTTTGTTTTTCCTTGGTTTCCGATTGTGATCTTGTATCCCTCCCTTGTCCTGTGCACTCCTGAGAAGGGTCTGACTCTCCTCTTTATCCCTCTTGAGTCAAATAAAAAATGCAAATAGGTCTCCCTTAACCATTTCTACTTGTGCTGAACCAAAAAAACCCCAGTTCCTTTTTCTCTTCTCTAGGAAACCTTTCAGTCTCCCTTGAAATTCTCTTTGCTTTCCTGACTTGTGCTCTTCCAGGGCTGCTTGTTTCACTGGACTATTGTGACAATGAGCACTAAATAGTAGCCCCCTCTATTCTCCGATTTAATTTACAAAAACTCTAGAAATCAGCCTCTTAAGATGTTCATGAAAAGGTTCAAATCAGATTGCAAATTGCTGGGGAAAAAGTAGCATTTATGAGGAATGAGATGTCAGTGTTTACCTCTACACACGCTGATTGCAGTCAGTTTTCTTCCCATCTATTTGTGATGCTGGGACAAGCTGTAAGGGCCTATTTTGAAAAAGACTGAGAAACAYAAAAAACAGCAAATCTTTATGCTTGTTTCGAAATGTCACTTCAAGGGTAATATACTGCTGTTTTGATCATCTGAGACCTTTCCTTAAAGGAGAYATGGATTTTTTTCCTTCTTTGTGAAAATGTGGAGAGTGGAAATGCYATTGTAGCTTTTAATCCTTTTCTTTGCATGACAAAGAAAGATTGAGTGTAAGCTTCTGCCTGAGAGTGACATTTCACAATGTTTTGAAGATAATATACTCGATAATATATATATTATACAATATACTTGAAGATAATAAACTATATTACTTGTCTTCTTATTCAAGGAGAGGAGCTTCCTGTTTTTTTGAGAAACAAATCCTTAATTTTACTGCTTAGCAAAAATACCACCCCTTACCCTGTACTCCAAATCCAGTTTTGATATCTGGGTTTTTTTTTTTTTTTTAGTAGACTCATAGAATGGTTTGGTTTGGAAGGGACCTTATTTTCTTTTTAATATTTCTCACTTTTTTCTTTTAATTAAAAAAAAAAAGGATCTAAATAAAGTAGATATTCTGTTGCTTCTAGGATATATGTAAATACAGCTGTTTTGCAGCAGCAGAAAACCATTTCCTTCTGAATTTGAGACCAAACCCCAGAAACCCTCACGAAGTGAGGCCCAGTTAGTTCAAAGTTTTCAAGAGATTCAGTAATGGGTTGTTTTTATTATTCATTACCAACACGACTTTCCTTAGGCCACTCCTAAAATGCTCTATAAATGTGCTATGGCTTTGGAATGTGARTTTACATATGGGGAGCTAATGAGAAATAACTATAATGTCCCAGAAGGCAGGCAACTCTTAAAGAACTGGATTTTGGCATTAATTCTTTGCAGCTTTACTCAAGCAAGCACAGGAGATAGAAYTGTAATTAATTCAGCTACTTCATAGTTAGAAAAAAAGAGGAAAATCAGTTAGAAAAGCAAAAAAACCCAAAGTTTTTGGAAAAATGGGATTTTGATATTTAATGTACATGTAATAAGGCCTTCATGGAAGGCAGGTTTTATCTCTGCCTTCAGGCACATTTTGATTTTTAAGAAGAAATAAAATCTGACAGTCTTACATGCTTGTTCTGATAATGCTTCTATTGGTTTTAATTGAAATTTTGTAATAGCTGGATGCTGGTTTTATAGTAATTTGTGCAAAATTGTAAGCCACCTTATGTTTCATCAACAAGGTGTGAATTATTTTGTTTACAGAAATAAGTAAATTATTAGCTATATTAATTTTGAACAGAGATTGTTTAAAATTACCRGCATGAAACTAATTAGTTGTGTTGTAGATAAGTGGTGCTCTTTGTTACAAGCTTCCCTTTTCTTGTGTTTTCTATGCCTGGAGGGAATGCTCTAGGCTGGGGTATTGAAATCCCCATCTAGAGTGCAGTTAAAGGCAATTAAATGGAAATTCTTATTCACTCTCCCTTTTGCTGGATTGCAGATGAACAATGGATGTTGGTATTGAATGTTCATTTTCATGGCAGTGCTTTCATCTTGTCTATAAATATTTCCTAACCATCACATTTAGAAGTGGTTTTGYTCCTTATTTATGAAAAGGCAGAGTGGTTGCCTGAAGCCTCACACTTATTGATGGAAATCAGCACGCTCTGTACTGGGACTGCAGAAGCATGGCTGTGTCTGGAGCTGAGTTGAATACAAATTGAATRTAATTTCTCTCTGTGTTTTCTGAAGGCTTTGTTGATTAGCATCTGATATATGAATTTCAAGAGGACTGTAGACACTGAAGGGATCCACTGAGAGCAAACAGAAACGTCTGTGTTGTTCTCRTTTTTATCCAAATCCTCCTTGGGGAAAAGCCCATGAATTGTTGACATTTGTCCTACTGCTCTACATTGGTAAATATACTCAGGATTAGTTTTGTTTTCCATGTATTTGATCTCCTCAGCATTTCTGGTGTAGGTAAGACCTCCATCACCTTGGTTTGCAAGTCCCTTTCACAAGTGAAATCTCTCATGCAGGTACTGACTTACATGACTTTATCGTTGCACCAGCATTTGCATTTTTATTGCAGAGAGTTGAATTAAGTAAGCTGGTGCTTGGAAATGAACTTAAATGCTTTTTGCCTTTGGGTGGTAACAAAAGTGCTTCTTCAAGAATCCTTCATGGCTTTTTCAGCTGCCTGTACCATGCTCACAGAATCATTAAAGTTGGTAAAGATCTCTAAGGTGGAGTCCAACCTTTGACCAAACATCAYCATATCAACTAAACCATAGCAGTGAGTGCCATGTCCAGTCATTTCTTAAACACATCCAGGGATGGTGATTCCACAACCTCCCTGGGCAGCCTGTTCCAATACCTGACCACCCTTCAGTGAAGAAATTCCTCTTGAGGTCAAATATGAACCTTCCTTGGCACAGCTTGGGGCTATTTCCTCTTGACCTGTCATAACTCTAGTGTATTTTATTCAGATAATAAATGAATCTGTCCTAACATCGTTTCCACTGAGCAGCAGATACTGTCCTGTACATTTTTCAAGTGGGAAGTTGAGGAACAGCTTCCTCAAGTGTTCATAACAAAGCATGAATTGAGAAAACCTGTCCTTTAAAGTCTAAYGTTAACCATTTTCAAAAGGCAGACTGCTTGCATGAAAGAACATAAGGAACCCCCAGTTTGTTTGTCAAACTGACTGGAAAACATTTAATTTTTTTTTTTCTGCAAGATGGGGCAGATGAAGTAACAAGTATGTTGTTGTATTAAAAACAAACACACAAAAATTAGTATTCATGCTGTGTTCCATAGAGCATCAAACTGATCCTCTTGACTCTGGAAATTTTGAAATGACCAGTGCTTGGGTACAGAGGAATGTTGATCAATTATCTCATCTATTCTGGGGAACAGGTTAAGTTTGGGAACCTTGTTTGTTCTTCTGGGCTGAGAGCTAAATTAGTGATGAGATAGATGCTCAATCTTCTGCCTCTGCAGAGTTCAGCCTCCTGCTTTGTTGAACACAAGAGGTATCAGACAATTAGCTGTTTTCACCTAGCCTGTCAACCCAGAAGTTCATGATCTAGTTTTCTTGCCTCTAAGCCCATGCTGATTCAGGCTGTGTTCTCAATCTGTTCTGGAGTTTCCAATCTGCTTCTCTGCAAGGGCTGTCCATTTTACATGTTCTATCCACACAATGCCTATTAATTTTTTCCTTGTCTCATCATTAAGCACTCATCTGCCTTTTTGGATCACAATATGCCAAGTGTTTGCATTTGAAGCCTTTAATCACCTTAGTATTGGCTTCCAAAAGGGAACTATTGACCTGCCTTAGCCATCCTAAATGCACATCAGGAGGTCATGTCAGCATACAGATTTAGCTTACATTATGGCAAATTTTAGAGGCCTAAAACTTTCTCAAGTTTTAAGAAAGCAGTTATGATACGACTCGTGTCCATCAGTCACCTCTGTAAGGGAGATTTTTGCTGGTTTTTGCTACTTTTGTTTTTTTGCGCTGCTGAGAAACAYAGGGTTTAGACTCACTGCCTCCTTTGGTGTTCTTCAAGAGTAAAAACCAGTCCTTGTACAAGACACTGGTCAATGTGTCCAGTGTGTGACAGAGCAGGGAATGACAAACAGCTGAGAAACATCTGCAAGAAATCTCATGGAGAGAGATTCCAAGTTAGGCTCAGTCCTGGGTTGGATTTATTAACAAAAGAAACCAGTASACACAGGTTTCACCAACATTCAGGTGAGCAGGATGTAAAATACTGGAGATGTCACRTGTTATGGAGGAGGCAGTTTTGTACCAACTGGTTTTGAGGGAAGGAGTAGATCCTGCTCAGCTCCTGCTCCTTTGCTCAGCCTTGCTTAGAGAGGATTTCTTCACAGACCTCTATGCGCCACTGAAAAATTTCAAAAAACCCTGAGCTTTTGTTAATGGATTTTGGAAAAAAAGAAAAGAAAAGAAAAAATGTATATAATAAGCTAAAAAAAATGTTATCTGGGAGACACAGAATTGCAAAGGACTAAAGGAATATTTGGTGATAAGTGGGCATTCGAGTTCAGCAACAAAACATTCCCTGACATTAACCCCTAGCAAAGAATTTCTATCTGTAATGCCATTCTGACATTTGACTAGGAAATATGCTACCCTCTTGGATAATCCAGGATGTTTTTTTCCCTGCTCTTGTGCTATGAATGTGGAGGTAACTAATGCATAATGCATTCTGCTTTGAAGCAAGTTAGCAGCTGAAATTGGTAATCATTTGAACAAGTTCGATGCTGTTGCATTATGCATCAGAAAAAGCTACATTAAGTGTCAAAGCCATAAAGGTAAGCTGCCTGCTTGTCCTGATAGCACTCAGGTCATGTTTTATTGCTTATTAATCATCCCAGATGAGAAGAATGAATTTCTGTGAAGTACTTCAGAATTCCAGCTCCAGGAGATGATTAGTAAAAATGAAAGTGAAATTTAGAAATAGCAGCCTTTATTACCTGCTTATGTTTTAAACTGATCTTTTGCATGTGGGCTGCTTTCTACACCTAAATTAGAAATCTAGCTTCTCTTTTTCTTTTCTTTCTAGRAGTGCTAAATATAATTTTTGTTTCAGACATCATTTTGTGTCCCTTCACATTAGCTTTCTGCTGCTGTTTATATTTATCATATAAATGTCTGGAACAGTCATTTTTCCATTGTTCCTTTGCAAATCTGTGCCCGTTTTGCTCACAGCATTATTTCTGTCACGCTTGTTTGCTTCTGACACTGGAATTTCCATCTGGGGTTATTTAGAGTTCAACAGTAAATGGCTTTTTTCCTCCAAAGTTACACCTTTCTGTGTAATCAAATTGACCTCTTCCTTGTGTGCCCCCACTTCTACCTTCCTTTATCATGACCTCAAATAGTGATTATTATTTTATTGTTCTCAAAGTTCAAATTATATATAAAGTTTAACCGTGTCTTGTTACTCACCTTTTATGACCAATTTACAAAAAAAAAAAAAAAATCTTCTAACTCGGTCAAGAGCATCCTTTCAGGCAAAATCTTGAGGGAAGTGATGGGATCAGTGTAAGATGAAAATCTGACTGGTCCCTGTTAGGACAGCCTTTGTCAAAGTGGTAAACTTGCCTCAGTGTTTGTAGCTGACTCAAGAGTTGTGCCTGCTCTGGGAAGGGGTTTCTTAGGGAAAAGAAGCCCTGAAGGGCTGCACAGCCCCTTCTCAGTTCAAACTGGAACCTGGAAAATAATGTACTTTGTCAGAAAAGCTCTAGACTGTAATTACTGCAATTGAGAGCCACCAGCAGGGATTTCTAAGTGATTTTAATGAGGAGTCAAACCAAGCATGCTGTCACTGTGCTGAAGAGAACAGTGGTAATTAACAAATACATCTGTACAGCACCTACCAGAATATTCCATACATTCTGTGTTTCAATAAAAATACCAGTATCTYATTCAATGCTGAATTCAGGGGTCATTTACATAGTTCTTCCTCTCCCTTGGTGTCATGTCCTGTCCAAGGAAAGCTGTTTCTTCAGTCACGCTGGTATTCCCTCATACATTACCATAAGGTCTATTCAGCAAACCAGTTTGTATCCAACACTTGGCCCAAATGTGAGTGAACTTCCTTCAACTTGCAGCCAGGTTGTCGCCTTCTCWTGTGAGCACAGTTACTTAAAATATTTACAATCATAGCAAGATTGTAACTTTTATAGAGAAGTAAATATATAAAGCAAATTATTAAAACATCAAATCAAAATAGAACAAATACTTGGCTTCCAGCTGAAAAATATTGATATGTAATTTATTTTAAAAGCAATCAATCTTATGGGTGACTTTAAGGGGGCATGTCTGGAAAGTTTACACTTTTTGGYGTTCTGTATAGGCTATGAAATAGAAAAGCAGAACTTTTTGCTTGGTTGTAATAAAAAGACATTTCATGTTCATCTCCTTGTTGCATCGATCTTATTAATTACCATCAAGATGGAAAGTGAACTGTGATTGCTTACTTTCCTTCCCCTAATTTTTAACATCTTGATAGCATTAACAAAGAAATCAAATGTTAWGATTTGTGTGAGTTGGGGCAGGCTAAAAGCTGTTACGTGGTGGCTTGGTTATAAAAGAAATGAGGGAGAACTTCTTTACTTTGCTGGTGACTGAGCACTGGGGCAGGTTGCTCAGAGTTTATGGAGTGTTCATCAGTGGAAATATTCCAGAACCATTTGGATGCAATCCTGTGCCATGTGCTCAGGCATGACCCCACTTGAACAAGGAGGTTGGACCAGATGACCACTGTGGTCCCTTCCAACCTGACCCGTTCTGTKATACAGTAACATTCAAATTTGGTTCCATAAGGAAAAAAAAAAAAAAAAAGCTTATATATTTTCTGAAGTCATAGGTGCAAGGAAGCGTGAGGTACACAGTAATTTTCCACTATGTTATGTACCGTCCCCAAAATCTGTTTTCATAACTGCTCTCAAGCATAAACACATGCTAAAAATGCACCTTCAGAGCAAAGTTGAGGAAAATCTGCTTTGCATCTGGAAGGCTGTCATTGCTGTGTACTGGTATTTAACTGTAGTTCTCTGGTACAGAGGGCTCCAGGTAACATTTATTCATGAGCTTTTCCATCCCTGTTAGTCTTACCTGCTCTTCTGCTATATTTTGATTTGCCCCTGGATAAGTGGCCTTTACATTTTTCTTGTGGGGACTTTATGGGGCTGGTGCTTTTTGCTCAATCTCAAATTAAGAGCAATGAGCAGCYGATGTAAGTTTGTAGAGTCAGATAATTTATTAGCAGTGCTCCTGAAAGAGTTGTCTTAGAGTCACAGATATCAGTGCTTAACAGTTTCATTAAATTGAATTTCTTGTTATTGGGAAAATCCTATTTGGCAAGTTGCTGATGCTTGCTATTTCAGTAATTTACAGCTTTTTSAGAAGACAGCTGGGTTAATACATTATTGAATATTTTTAGAATCCTTTAATGCTGAGTTCACAGGATTCTCCAAGTAGACTTAAAAGCTGAGAAGTTTTTGAAGAGGGTTTTACTTTGAAGTTTCTGAGGGCTTGCTTCAGTTCCAATGCCAGTAAAGCTTAGAACGTGTTCCGAAAGACTAAAAATAGCAGCAGTGAAACAATGGATTRAATCTGGCAAGTCTTATCGATGAGAAGGCAAAGGAGGTCACAGCTTGCCGTGGGTACAAAAGTGTGCTGTGCTTTGTGGTTTTAKAAAAATGGATCGAAATTAGGCTTTTAGGGATAATTTTTCCCTGAAATAATGTATTACCATGACTCAAATCTTTCTCTCATGTATTAGGAGAAAAAAAATACCCATGGTCTTTCAGATGTGATTGATTTAAGATATATAAGAGAACTTCTGCCTGGTTTTGGCTAAATATTTTTAACATTAGAAGTCTTCTTTTGTCTTTCTCCTGAATTAGGTCATGTGATTAACTAGGTGTCTTTTTTTAAAGGTAATACTCCCAAATCAGGTTTTGTTTTTAGTTTACTTTATATATTCTTTCATTGCTATGTTTATTTCCTTTTTGTGTGCCTATTTTTTAACTACATTCCTTCTATTATATTATTATATTATTGCTGAGTCTTCCCCTCAGTTTTTCACAGTTAAATGATATCTCCATCATGTCTGTCATCATGGCTTGTACTTTGCTTTCTCCCAGGTTGCTCCAGAGCTGTCAAAAATAACATCAGAAACTGACACTGTTAGGAAAATTAATCCACAAGCACCAAAGGTTTATGTCCAAAAAGGAGACAGTGGAGTCCTGCAACTTTATTCATGAATAAAGGGAGAGGTCATGGGCATTTCCCAGTTCTCAAATTGCTGAAGGACACAGCCTCCTTTTATCCCAATTTCCTTGCCACAGTTCCCTCTCTCTTTCCCCATTGGCTGAGATACTTGAGAGAGGTACAGGCTCCCCAAAACACCTAATGAAACCCCCTTCTATCATACATTCCCCCTTTCAATATACATCTCTGTGTCTCTGCTCTTGTAGTCTATTAACATAGTGTGGGATAAGTCAATCAGTGGAATTCCTATGGAAATCCTTCCTATTGTTTCCTTCTATCTCCCAGTATCAGCCTTATCTTACCCCCAGAGTCAGAGTTTGTTTGTGAAGACACTCCCTTCTCATTCCTTTCAGTCACTGAGAATGACTGCCTTATTAAATTCATCAGTGTAAGCTGGTAACAAGAAAGCAATCACTGAACGTTATTTCCATATTTAGATACTTCTCAAGTACTTAAACATGCAGCAGAAGCAGAAAACATGGAGTATAAATTAAATGAAACGGCTGGCACACTCTGTGTGTGTTTTTTGCATCCCAAAGATGTAGGTGGCCACTGCTTGGTACTCAGCTCACTTGTTTTCCACGTTATAGGAATGCTTTTCCATACCAGGGGATCAGCTCCTGTAAACAAAGATTCTTGGAAAGGGAAAGTAATTCAGAAAGATTTGTTGGCTATTCACTCTCTTTAAAGCAAAACAAACCACGCGTTTATTTTGTGGAGTTGATGAATTACGGACTGACCTCGTGCTGGGGAGTTAAACACTGGTGCTAATTAATGGCCCGTTAGCAGGGCAGCATCTTGATCTCCCTGGAGGTCACCTGCATGGGGGCCATAAATCCCTGCTGGAAACAGGAGCAGTCTCAAGGTGCTTCATTTCAGCTCAGTGGGATGGTGGCCCTCAGCTGATGGGACGCTGTGTTTCATAGCTCAGAGTTTGAGATTCACGGTTCTATCCCATTCCTGCTGGCTGTGCAGCTGCTCCTTGCTGTTGATAATTGTTCTGGGGCTTCAGTAGTTTTTTACTGTGTTCTGTTTTTCCCTGCAGGCTTTTGGACAGTCCTTCTCTGTTCACCGCAAAGTGGCCGAAGATGGCGAGACGCGGGAGGAGACTCTTCTCCAGGAGTCTGCATCCAAGGAAGCCTATTACCTTGGGAAGATCCTGGAGATGCAGAACGAGCTCAAGCAGAGCAGGGCCGTGGTCACCAACGTTCAGGCAGAGAATGAGAGGCTCACTGCTATTGTCCAAGACTTGAAAGAGGTAAATGGGGCTGAATTTCCTTGGGGCATCGTGGATAACGTGGCTGTGAAGAATATGGAAAATATTACAAGAAGCAAAAATGCTCACCTCCCAGCCTGTGATCTCCCATAGAGCACATGGCCTGGGAAGGCTGTAATTTAGAAAGGAGAAAATATAATTCTTACTATTTTTCACCACTGTCACCACCCTAAAATTTAATAAAACCCAATTCAGAATGCTATAACTTCCTAGGCACCCTTAGCATTTTGTGTTTTATGTTATAGTACCAAATTTTACATGAACACATTTTCTGCACACTTCTGATTTCATGCAGCTCTTCTCTTTCTCAGCATTTACATAATTTTTCAGGTCTTCTGGATTGCCTAGAATTAAATGGAGCTGTCACTGGTTTTCTTCTGCTGTAAAGCAAAATTAAAATGCATGCTCATGTTTAGAAAATGGCTAACAGTAAGGAAGTCAAATGTAGTCATTGGCCATATGAGACATTTGATGATTTTGATGGAGAATTCAGTAATATTTARTAACTTGCTTTTTTTCCCTTGGAATGTGGAAGTTACAGAATGTAGCAGAACAACTACATGCAGGGGGTTGGCAGCATTTGGAAATAAGCCCACATCTTCCCTGCGTTCCTCAGGAATGCTCAGACGTAGGGATTATCCCCACTGTACAGCTGCTGGAGGAAATATTTCCTAGGTGATTCTGGAAAGTGATTGTTCAATGCATTAATTTGTTGGTATTAATGATTACCATGTTTTCTGAAGCTGAATGGAATGGCATCCTTTGACCTACAGAAAGCCCTGGAACAGGCTATCCATGGACCTGAGTCATTTATTCTCACTGAACATTCTTATTTAATTATTGTGCTGGAATTGGTACAGATCGGGTTTTAGTAAGAAGTACAAACATCCCATTTATTCATAAGTTCCAGTTAAAATGTGTGGTTGTAATTTCTGTTGCAGTGGTTAATAAAAAATCAAATTTTAATTATTAATATATTAATATTTTAAATTTATTTTTTATCTACTTATCTGAAAATCCTGTCCTAAAATCTTCTTGGTGGCAGACACCCATCTGCTGACACTCCTACCTCTTTGGTTTAGCTCACAGGTCCTGATGATTTGGGGTTCAGTCACAAATGAACAACCAAGTTAGAGAAAATACAAGTTTTTCTTTGTACTCRGTTCTTTTCCTCTAGGGTCTTCTGGGGATTCCTTCAAGTGCAGATCCTCCTTCCATTTTCTAGCATGGTTATTGATCTGCAATTTGTTCAGGAGGCAGTTTCAGTACCTGTCCTCCCTGGGATATTGATTGTCCTTGTTTCCTTGGAGATAATAGTAACCCCCAGCTGCAATTATTTCCTGCTCTAATGCTAAATAGAAACAAGCCATAGTAGTTAATTAAAGTGCAATAAAGGAATTTACTTGAATAAAAACAAGGCTGATAAACTAACTGATTGTTATTAAGATGACTTGTACGCTGATATCAAGTCCTTGACTATGCTGAACTTTTGTGTTGCTACAATCAGTGTGCTTAAACATAAATGGGATTAGTGCAGTCAGTTCATTACAGCACAGGTTATTATGATTAATTACTTGAATAMTAATAATAAGGGATAGCAGGTGATTGACACCCACTTTGGGGTCTTAGTGATCTTTTCACACTGAATTACGCTGGTATTTCACCTTGTGCTCAAAGGAGTCCTCCCCTTATGCCCATCCTGGTATCCCCCTTCATCCTGTGGCTGTGATGTCCAAGTGCCTGCTGAAATGAGAAGACCTTCTCCTGTAAGTGTTTATCAATTTTGTCTGCTTGGTTCTGCCTCATGCAAGCAGAARAGGAGACTAAACTTACTCCAAATTTTCACAGCTACAAAGGTGAGGGAAAAAAAGTAAGAAGTGTCTGGTATGTTTTGGGTCAAAGCCAGAATTAGACACTGCTGTGGGTGGATTGCTACAATGAGGAAGCAATTTGTCTCTTTAGGCAGTAAATTTGGAAAGCTAATTAGAGAAAAGATGAAAGAAATGAAGATGATCTCCATGTGGGTTTCTGTACTGAGTGATGCAAAGAGAGATTGGTAGATTCTGGACAGAAGTTACCTGATTGTATCCTGTCCTTTCCTCTCACTGCCCACGCCAAGAAAAAATGCTTTAAGCCTTAATAAGACATCTTATAAACTAAACAAACAAACAAATAATTCTTTTCACCTTCAGTCTTATTTTAAAGGTTTGCATAAGTGCTGTGTGGTTCTGGGAATARTGTTTTTGCGTGGATGGCAGAAATGTGTGGTAGTTATCCGTGTGCTCAGCCACTTAGGATGCTGAAGGCTGAAAGGTAGATTTTCAAGAAATGACCCCTGTTATTGGTATTAATTCCTAAATAATGCACTCAGTGCTTCTCTGCTCTCCAGCCTATTGTGGGAGTTATCTCATGAATACATTCTGCTCTCTGAATTTGCACAGAGATCCATACTCATATGAATGTGTATGAGCATTTTGTGAGCCATCAGAATACACTGGCATGAATGTTGATGACTTTTAGGAATCGTGGGAATTCCATAGCCCTGGAATTTAAAAATTCATGCATTTTAGCAAGAATCTGCCTTGCAGTCACAGCTGATGCCTGCAGGGCAGCTTGACCTGGATCTCCCTTGCCACAAAAGGGAATATATCAGGTTTATGTCTCTGGAGATTATGGATATCAGACTGCAAAACCAAACTGATTTCAGTTTAGTACTCACATCTAGAAAAAGATGTGTTTTTTAAGAACTTGATCATGTGCTTCATGGTGATGGGGAATGATGAGCCAGGAATCTCTGCGCATGTGCTTTCTACTCCATGTGAAAATAAATAAAAGAGTAAAACACCAGCAGCTTTATTGTTGACATAATAAAAATCCCTAGAGTCTTGGATAGGAATGTTATTAACTATCGTTTAACTAAATAAAATACACTTTTTGGAAAGCTGGTATATTTTTTTTTCYCCCACCAAGACCTCAGATAGGGAATGCAGGAGGGTTAATTTGAACCAAAAATGTATAGATTTTTAAAATGAGGCCAGAGAGATAATATTTTAGCAGTTAGAGACCAGATTTACAAAGTCTGTTTGTTAGGCATCACATAGCTTAGGGAGATGGTGTCTCTGTATGGAGAGATCATTATGATTGTTAGGATCATCTATCAATCATAATTTGCAATTTCTGTTGCAGTGGTTAACAAAAAAAGAAATTTTAAATATTTAATATTAATATTTTAAAATTATTTTTTATCTACTTATCGGAAAATCCTGTCCTAAAATCTTCTTGGTGGCAGACCTTTTCCAACAGCATATGAATTGCCTGCATTTATTATAAATATTAATGAACTATTTTTTAAAGAAAAATCAAAAATACTACCTTTTATCCTTTTCTAATTTTATAGCGTCAGGTTTTTTCCTGTTTAAAAGCACTGTTTTATAGTTGGGAGATGAATAACTTTTTTTCATTGTGTGCCACTGAAAAATCTTTTTTTTTTTTTTTTAATGGCAACCATAAGCTCTTTGTAGATGCATAAAGATGAAATCACCACCTTAAGAAGCTGATAACTGACAGAGGTGGTTATGWAAGCACAGATGACCAGCTCAGACGTTGGAGAAAGCTCTCCACGTCCATGGATAGGAAATCTCCATATGGGAGATGCTCCTCCATCATGGGAAGGCTGCATACCTTGGAGCTGGGCATCTGAGTGAAAACAGGTGGCAAAGAGAATGAGACAAAGATGAAGCAGGTGAGACTGTAGGAAATGGAGATGAAGGGTGATGGTACAGTTTGAGTTTTGTAGGTGTTATGAGAGAGACTAGGCTGAGGAGTTGTTTGGGGTGAATGTCTTTCTGTCTGAAGGGGCTGGCAGGTATGGAACAGCTCTTTCTTCACATTGAGTAGTGAAAAGGAGAGTGACAGGAAAAAAATGGTTAAAACTCATAGGCTCTTTGCTAAAAGTCACTGCAGGGATTGCAGAAACAAATCAGCACCTGTGTACCTGCAGTCCATGAGATAACAAATGAACAGGGAGATGACAGTGTTCATGGGCCATGGGAGCAGCACACACCTGGGCTTCTGGAGGGCAAAACCAGGAATGAGGGCAATGGAAGAGTGGGTGGAAAGAAAAAAATACAAATTAGTGATGTTTTATCTGCTGAAAGCAAGTGAAAAAATGTCTAAGGTCGAGTTGTGCAGCCCTGCTGCCCTTGAAATCCATACCTAAAGATTTATTCACTCCAGCAGCACAAAAATCTTGCACTTCATGCTAATCAGAAAATGTATGGTAGCTTGGATTTTTTTGAGGGGAACTAATGTTTGAAAACCAGAAAAAATTTAMAGTCGTCATCTTCAAGTTGACTTTTATCTAAAAAATTATATATTAAGAACTGGAGTTTCTTTATTAAATRTTGTTTAAATTCTAAATTATTATTTCCTATTTAGAAATTATAGTTTTTCACTCTGAAAAAATAATCTTTCGGCTCATTTTACGATTTTGAGTAAAGTCTAAAACCTTGAAATGTGAAAACATACGTAGTCAATACCCTGTCATGATGTAACCAACTGTTTAGGTTTCCACCTTTTGTAGAATTTTCAGTCTSTCTGAAGGTCTGTCTTGGCCTGAGGTCTGACAGTGTTGAGCATTGCTGTAGATGCTGCTGGGATCTTCCAAGGAAATGTTTCCCAGCTGACTCCTCACCCAGTGATGTCCTCTCACTCCCTGTTTCTGTGATTGAGGTGAGGTTTGGGGCTTCAGTTTATTCTCTGTCCTAGGATTTGTGAATCTGCTTCTTTCTCWGAAGAAAGCACCCTGGCAGTCAGTTGTCAGGCTCTTTGTTCCTTCAGGTGAAGCTGTTCCACACTGATGAGCATTTTGTGGGTCAGGGAGAGTGGGATTGAGGCAGCTGCAGCCTCAAGGCTAAATCATTCCTATGGGAATAGGGAACAAGTTCTCGTCCCTATTTCAATTAATGTTTGGTGAGAAATAC